TGGCGCAAAACTGTGGTAAGATATATCACAGATAAATACGTAAATGAAAATGAACAAAACCCTATTAAAAAAAATTGCACTCCAAAAGTACAAGAAAAGTCTTAGAGTTAATAAAGAGCTCGATTGAGACAGAAAAACATGTATTTTTTCATGAGTTGTGTTTATTTATATTTGTGTTGTATTTATTTTTATATTATTATGTAAATATGTTTTACTCATATTTTATAAAAATATATTTGGGGATTTGGATTTTTCTAGAATTGAACCTAGGGGTATTTTTACTTGCTACACTCGTCGCGCCTCTATAGCAAGAGCGGAAAATTGAAGTTAAAATAATCGAAAAGCGGTCCTCTTTGCTATATATTTATACTTGTTTATGGTGAAAGAACAATTAGGCAAAGAAACATCGTTAAAATTAGATTGTCAAACAATATGGAATAGTATGATATTTATGTTAGAAAAATTTGAAGAATTTAAATTTTGCATTCAAAAAGCGCTTATACACATCAGTTCTGATGTTCATTTTTCTGACGAAGAGTTTAATTTATTATCTTTGATTATTGTAGTCTCACACCTGTAAAATTAACAGTAGATGCATTATGTCGAAAGGATGCAAATCTGTTGATTGCTGACGCTTCTTTAATATTTATGTTAGACACTCTGTCCGAACAAAGATCTGCAATCGCAATAAAATTATTGGAAGTTTTAAAATCTCGAATTTTACTGCGTCGAACGGAATTATCACAAATACTGCAGTATCTACAAAAAAGCACACAAGATGTTGAAGAAATATGCATTTCGAAATATGCACTAATTAAAAAATGATAAACTTAACAAAACGACTCACACAACAAAATCTAGTAGATACAGACGATATAAAAAATGAGCAAGAATCCCTTTCAACACCTTCCCAAAATAGGAATGAAACAATATTAGAATCTGACAAGGTAAACGAAATGAAGAAAAAACTACAGGCAGTCGTAGATGAAATAGTTCACCCGTGAGTGGGTTAAAAAAACTCCAAGTCTAGAACAAAAAATAATAGATAAAATTACTTTTTTTTTAAGAAAACAGGAATGAAGTAAACAAACCTATATAATATGTATAATTTCTTAATTACAATTGTACCAAAAAGTGTAGAATCAGAAAGAGCTTTTTCGGCGGCTGGTTATTTTTGTAATAAAATTTGGTCCTCGCTTGTTGATCAAACAATTGATTGTTTATGCTTCTTAAGAGCATATTGTATTAAGCAAAACATTAGCCATAAATTATAGTTTTTTCTTTTCTCAAATATATAATTTTGATTATAAATGTAAAATGTAACATAGAAGAATATATATTTTTTACTGACACACTTTTTGTTTCTATCTACATCTACTCCTCATGTAATAAATAAATAATACGTACTCATTTCAGGACAATATCCGTAGGGTATCCTAAATTATTTGTTAATATGTCAATAAAACAACTGAAGTAAGTAAAAATATAACTATTTAATTTTTTATCGACAAAACCGGTATTAAAACCGGGATCCAGGATTTTCATTTTTCAAATATCGAATACCGGTATTCAGATTTTTGTACGGTACTGGAAAGCCCTACATCTGAATGACCGGTTTCATTTGGTGGAAACATTAGGACAGAAAATTCCTTTTAATGTGGTCACTATGACAAGAACAGTTTACTATAACTTCATTATTATTAAAACAGAATGGTCCCTACGTAATAAAAAAAGTATAATGAAAAAGAATCTTTTTTGTGGAAACCTGTACAATGGTTAAAATATGGAATGAGTGGAGACTGCTAATTTTATATTACCGAGCCTCGAAAAATAAAAGCAGTCAGTGAGTTCAAAACCTCTTCAAATCCTAGAGAAATTTAAATATTCTTAGGTTTATCAGGTTACTAGAACAAGTATATAAAAGATTATTCAAAAATAACAAATCCATTAACAAAATTACTAAAGAAAAATTCTAAATTTATTTGGTCCGAAATTATATTTAATACGTTGAAGAAATAATTAATAAACCCACAAATTTTACGATATCCAAATTTTGCTAGAGACGTAGCCATAAGTGCAGTTTTATTTCAAAACGTAAATGTTTCGGATGTTGTGTGTTACTCATTTTAGGCCTTACTTGTACCGAAAACTCTTTAAATTATTTACTGACCACATGCCTTTAATATATTTGTATAATTGTAAAAACCGAATTCTAGACAAATACGTTGGAGATTAAAATTAAAGTTATTCGAATTCAAAATTATCTATAAAGCTGGAATAACAAATACAAATGCAGACAGTTTATTTAGATCTTCTTTTGAATTGCAAACATTCAGGAAAATGCAAAATTTTCATATTTAACCACTAAACCAACCAAAAAATTTCAAACATTTTTAGATACTGCAAACAGAAAGATTATTTTAAATACAAATATAGTAAAAACAATAATAATTTTATTTCTTCAATAACTAAAAATACAACCAGCATATTGTCTTAAAAAATTATATTATTTTGATCGGCAATAAATATATGCAAAAAAAACTAAAAATCAAAATGTTTTAATATTAGTATCAAAAACTTCAAATACATAAAAAAAATGCAAAAATTATTTGATCTTTGTAAACATGAAACAAAAATAACTTTATAGATATCCAAACATCAACTAATCATATTACGTATTCTATCGTTAACAATAAAGTTTCACAGCTTAAATTACAAGATTTTTTTTTATTGACTATGCAATTTAAAAAAATATTTGTTAGAGTAAAATATAAAATATTACGCAACTCCTAGTCCTATCCAGTTCACAAATATTTGTCATTTATCTTTTGAACATTTTAAAATGATGTAAAGATACATCTTCAAAGTACAATATAAAAATCGAAATTTATTTAGATAAAATAATTGAAAATTTAATAGAAGAAGAAATAGAAAAAGTTTTGCATGATTTACGTATTTCTCAAATAAATGGAGGCATAAAGAAAACTTACAATAAAATTAAAAACTTTTACATGTGGCCAAAAATGAGGAAACAATTTAGAAATTTCATAAGTAAACGTGCAATTTGTCAAAAAATAAGGTTTTTTTTTATCGCGAAAAACTAAAGCATCCATGGAAATCAGAACTACTGCTAAAAAACCATTCGGAAAAGTGTGTCAGATAATCACAATAAATAATTCTTAACTTTTATTCGTGATCTAACAAAATTTGTAGATGTTTTGAATGAAGGTTCTGTATCAGAAATTGTTTTTAAATATGTTATTCTACTAAAAGAAGTTTGGTCAAATTTAGGAACAACTTTTACCAGTAATTAATTTAAAGACGTTTATAAACTTAAAAAAAAAAAGAAGTGCAACATCATCTGATGTGCAAGTGAACGTATGCATAAGGATCTTATCCAAAATATTAGATCAAATATAAACAGCACACAAGCAAATTGACGAAGATATATTAAATATTGTAACGAGAAAGAGGTGACGCCCCCCTTTCTTAGGGTATATGCAACGACTTCCATTATTACGTCATAGTGTTGCATTCCCATTAAGAAGGGGTTACACCAACTCCTAAACCCGACTTCTATAACCACCCTGTAATTACCTGCGGAAAAGCTAACTAACTACGCGAATGAAAGAGAATGTACTTCTATCTTATTTAATTAATACAAATTATTATTACAAATCTGAGGGCATGGCTGTGCCTACGCACAGCCATGTTCTATACTTAAACACTAACGTACTGAGTGATTATTATTAATTACTATACTACCTGAGTATAGTATAACTATAAAGGAGTATATTAAACGGATAACTTATAACGGATAACGGAGGGAATAGCTTTTAATTAACAATAATGCATCTGACCTTTGCTGGGACGGGTTCTCCTCTCCTGGCACAACACACACACCACTATACACAAAGCGGGTCCAGCGCCTGGCGCGTGGACCCACTGACCTCCTCAGAGGATGATACAATTCTTAATGCTCACATTTCAACCCCAGACTGGACCTTATATTGGCATCCCTAGTAGTGGGGGAGTTCCATTGCACTGGTGGTTATGCAACCCTTTTGACGACAATACCAATTGTCGTTACAATATGCAAAATTTTATTCACAATACCACAGTACCTAAATCGACAAATTATACACCCATTGAATTACTACTTGGGAGAAAAATTGAATTACCTTTATTTGTCAGTAAGAGTTGTGATATACAAAACAATTATGATAAATATACAAATGAATTACAATGAGATTACAATAGAGAAATTTAAATGCACAAATAATACTGGGCAGAAATTTACAGAATTCTATCCTAGACTTCAAATAGTCAATACATAACTTATTAAAAGTTATTCATGTTTATACACTTATGTCAATAAACAAAGCTGTTCTCGTTTAGTTTTTGGAAGTTATTAAGATTTGATTAACGTTTGTAAATCTGATTCATCCCTTTAGCCCTGATTCCTCATCCTATACATTGTACAATGTCAACCTTGTTCAGTACTTAATTGTGACCAGATAATCATTTATAAAAACAAACCCTCCATTTTCACAAATGATTTTAGGCGGTATTCTATTTTTACAATGTTTTTCCCAATTTGCGTGTATGTTGTTTCTGCAATTAATTATATCCATTAATTTGCTTTTATTTTCAGTTTTTCTCCAGGTGTGGAATGTGATTTTTCACATCTAGGCCAATAAATCTGTATTTTCGTATTACATAATTTAAAAATTTGGCCTGTATATGATTTTCTGAATAAAAAATTTAAAACTGCTTATACCCTTCAAAGGGAAATTACAATTGACGAAAGCCTAATGTTGTATAAAGGAGCACTAAGCTGGAAACAATATATGCCCATGAAACGTGCAAGATTTGGCATCAAAAGTTACTTCTTGTGCGAATCGAAAACTGGGTATATATGGTCTATGATGATATATACAGGAAAAGGGACAATTATCGATAGTGAGTTCCCAAATTTGTCAATATCATCTCAAATCGTTATGAGTTTGATGAAGCCATTGATAAATAAGGGATATTGCCTCACTATCGATAATTTTTATAGTTCTGTGGAACTATTCAAATTGTTATCGGTTTTCAAAAGAGATGCATATGGAACAGTGAGATCTAATAGAAAAGGTTTACCAATTAATATAAAAAATCCAAAAGAAGTGAATCCTGAATACGTAAGATCTTTTAGAAAGGAGAGATTGATGGCCATGAGATGGAAAGACAAAAGGAATGTGTACTTCCTTTCTACAATACACGGTGCAGATCAGGTAGAAATAGAAAAGAGAGGCATCATAAAAATGAAACCCAAAGTGAGTGTTGATTATAATTTTACGATGGGAGGTGTTGATCGCGTCGATCAACATTTGTCGAGTTATCCCCTTCCAAGAAAAAGAGGAAAAAAATAGTATAAAAAAATGTTTTTCCATCTCATGGAACTCTCTGAATACAACGCATATGTGCTCTACAGAAAAAAAGGAGGTAGCATGACACATCTTGAATTTAGAATAAAACTAATAGAAGAATATATAGAAAAATATAGTGTTGGAATTTTTTCTGCAAAAGGTGGTCGGCCAAGCAACACCCCTAATCCGCTAAGATTGACAGAACGTCATTTTCTAAAAACTATATCGGCGGTGGGTAGTAAAAGCAGACCTACAAAAAGGTGTGCTGTTTGCTGTTCGAAGCGGGACGACTCCGGAAAACGTGTCCGGAAAGAGAGTCGATACTGGTGCGCCGAATGTGAAGTAGGCTTATGTTTGGAGGAATGCTTCGAAATTTACCACACAAAAACAAATTATTAATTTTTTATTATTATTATAATTTATTTATTTATTTTATCTTGTTATATGTTTTGTGCCTTTAGATGTATTAGTATAAAAAATATATTACACCAAAATGTCAATTTACTTCAGTTTTCTTATTTTTTTAGATTATTTTTTAAATTATTTTTTATATTTCTTTCAGATAAATAAATAGTATTGAAATTAATAAGTTAATAACAAAATTTTCCATTAGTTATTGATATTGTATAAGAAGTGGTTAACAATAAAGGTATTGAAAACCGTCAAAACGGTATTCAATATTACGATGCATTTTGCTAATTTTATACAAAAAATTAAAATGAAATGAAAAATCGTATCAGAAACATATATTACATCACTTAAGCTTTTAAAATCCGAAATAAAAAAACCTGCTCTTTTAGATCACTTTTTTCGAAAAAAAACTCGATCGTTAAGTGGTTAACGCTGAAGTATCCCAAAGTAAATTATTCGCATCTCCCAACACAAGGGCACAACAATTGGTGGCAAGCCTGTAGAAAAGACCGCATAAAAACTACTGGAAAAACAGCAGAATAAAAGGTACGATTAAAAATCCGATTGATGCACGAGCGCGCCAAACAAGGACGCTAGAGACCGCCATCTTGTAGAGGACACGGCGTCTGTTCAAGCCGAGACTCGTCACGGATTACAATATTCACAAACAGTATTGTATAATTTGATTAGAGTGCTACAACATTTTTTTAGAATATTTAAAGATTAATTTGATATTTTTAGTACATTTTTTAGAACAAAATTTTAGAACAAACTTTTAGAACTAACTCTTAGAATCAAACTCTTAGAATCAAACTCTTGAAATCAAACTCTTAGAATCAAACTCTTAGAATCAAAGTCTTAGAATCAAAGTCTTAGAATCAAACTTTTAGAATCCAAATTTTAGAATATGTACTTTTAGAAACAAATATCTCTATACGTTAATATCGATTATTCATACCTATGTACAAAATATTTTAAGTAATACTTTCTAAATTAATAGTGAATTGATGTCTCGCACGGTTTGGGACTAGCAAAGCAGCGTGTAATCAGACGATCCCTTGAGTCAATTTTCGAACGACACCTGCGATGCGACACCGAAGGAACGCACAAAGGCTAGAATCGATACTCATGAATTTGATTGATGCAACAGTCAGTCGTGGGAATAACCCAGCTGGCACTAAATATTACAACGAAATTTTAAGAGATCAGGCACAATATATATTTCAGGAAGGTCTTCAACCTTCTCTAAAATTGATTGTTAAATGTAAAAATCTTGACACCTTAGAACAAGCCATTTCTGTTGCATTAGAGGAAGAATCACTTGCTAATTCGTTTAAATTTAGATCTTTTGCTCAACCCCGAACAAACATACCTGTCGACCCAAGTTACATTCCTAAGTTTAAGAGCAAACCATTTTTAGTCTGCAATTATTGCAGAAAGGTAAGGCACATAATGAAAGATTGTCGAAAAGGAATTTACAACAACCAGACAAAAAATAGTGTAAACCCTGCGTGTGTAGATAAGGAAACCGCAGTAGGAAATAAAATAAATCATATTGATCAAGAACCGGTACCATCTACAAATAAATCAGAACCTCATAGTACTCATAAGGCAGGTGAACTCAAACAGGCTCACTTATCCTATCTAGTTAATAAACATAATCTTGCATATATAAATATAGAATTTATAGATTACTCTCCAAATAGGACCAATTTATTAATAGATACTGGTGCTGAAATTAGCTTACTAGAACTTTCAAATTTAAATGATAATGTAGACATTAAGGACGATTTAACTGATAAGATTAGGATGACTGGTGTCCCAGGTAGCACTTTAGAAACAATAGGTAAGGCTAGTTTGAGAATAAGATTAGGTGATAAAATAGTTACACATGATTTCAACATTATTATTGATAAGATACCGATCAAAGGTTACGGTATTCTTGGTATAGATTTCCTAAGAATTTATGGGGGTAACATTAACATTATAGAATCAACGTTAAATTTTAAAAACCTTCAGACATTCCCTTTACTACATGCTCCGTCAGGAATTCAATTGAACCCTAGATCCGAAACGGTAGTAAGAGTAAAGAAGGAATTATAGAGAAACAAGAGATTAGTGAAGAAGTATTCGTGGCCTGTACTCTAGTTTCACCTTCTAATAACTCCTGTATAGAAAATATTATTAATTCTAATGAGACTGAAGTAAATATAGATACTCCCATACTATATATTGATGTTTTACCAACAATTTTAGAACCAACTCATGAAATTTTTGTAGCTACTGAAGCCAATAACTTTAAATCCAACAGAATAGATAAATTTTATAATCTTTTAAATACTGACACATTAAACGATTTTGAATGCTACTACCTCAAACAAATTGTTCTAGACTATAATGACTTAATTTACATTGAGGGAGACACACTGCCATTTACATCAGCACCACATAATTACTCCAACAGACTCTCCAGCTATTAACATAAAACCTTATAAATTACAGGATTACCATAAGACTGAAATTAACAGACAAATCACAGAATTTCTAGACAATGACGTAATAGAACATAGCAACAGTCTATGGAACGCCCCGTTACTTCTTGTACCAAAAAAATCAGACACTGGCAACAAGTGGAGGTTAGTAGTCGATTTCCGCGATTTAAATAAAGTAACTGTGGGTGGTTCATACCTTTACCGAATATAGTAGACATATTGGACCAGCTAGGCAATTGTAAGTACTTCTCAGCATTAGATCTTGCTTCTGGCTTCCACCAGATTGCAATGAATGACGACGACAAGATCAAGACTGCATTCTCGACTCAATCCGCATACTACCATCACAAGAGCATGCCTTACGCGACTTTTCAAAGTCTAATGAACTCGGTGCTCACGGGGCTACAAGGCCTCAAATGTTTCGTATATCTGGACGACAAAGTAGTTTACTCGAACACACTAGAGGATGATTACAAGAGAATTATAGAAATATCAGATAGATTAAGAAAAAGTAATTTAAGACTCCAAACTCAAAAGTGCAATTTTTTCTGCAAAGAAGTTTACTATTTAGGACATATCATTACTCTATCATTATCCGGCATATAACCCGATCCTTCTAAGATTGATAAAGTAATTAACTTCCCAGTCCCTAAAAACCAGAAAGATGTAAAATCTTTTCTTGGTTTAGGGGGTACTATCGGAGTTTTATGCAAGATTTTTCAAGAATATCCAGACCCCTAAGCGAACTTCTAAAAAGGATCACCCATCTCATTGGACGTCGTCACAACAAACCGCTTTTGAGTCCCTAAAATCTTTATTGACGAATTCCCCAATTTTACAGTACCCTAACATTGATCAAATCATTAATTTAACCACTGACGCGTCGGGCAGAGCAATATGGGCAGTTCTTTCGCAAGGAGAGGTAGGGAAAGACTTACTCATTGCGTACGCTAGTCGCATCTTGAACAAAGCGGAAATTAATTACTCCACAACTGAAAAGGAATTATTAGCCATAATCTGGGCTGTGCGCCATTTTCGCCCATATATCTACGGAGTCCAGTTCAACATTATCTCAAACCATAAGCCTTTAATATGGCTGATCAATTTTAAAGACCCGGGATCTAAATTATTGAGGTAGCGTATTAAGTTACAAGAGTATGATTATAAGATTATCTATAAGAAAGGCACTGCCAACACCAACGCAGACGCTCTAAATAGGATATTTCATATAACTGGCGAGAACAATTATCAAAATTTTAAGGTAGTTTTAGAAAAACAATTAATTATAAATGACAAAATTATAGAAACAAATAGCCCATTTTTAAATACTCCATAATATTAATGACTTAGCTTATATTTCTTCTGTAGATTTAAATCAAGATGACTATTCCGAGTAAAGACCAATGTTTAGATATATTTTTAAGAACAACCCTATCAATATTACTATTTATTTAGCTTTAGATTGTATGTCAAAGGAAGATAAATTACGCGTCCTAAAAGAATATTATTCTACCCCAGTTGGGGGTCCCCAGGGCTATAAAAGATCCTTAAAAAGAATAAACATAAAGTACAATTGGCCGAAGTTAAAAAGTGACCTCAGAAACTATATTAAGTCGTGCGAAATTTGCCAGCGGAATTCCCAATAATCATCACGGACACCCCGTCCAGATCTTTTGAAAAATGTGCATTGGATACTGTGGGACCGTTAACAGAAACCATCAACGGAAATAAGTATATTCTGACCTTTCAGGACTTATTGACTGAATTTAGTAGGGCTTAAACGGTTTGTGGAGGAAATTATCTGCCATTACAGTATACCATCTAAGATTCTAACCGACCAAGGGACAAATTTTCTAAACATGCTATTCAAAAACGTCTGTAAAATTTTGAAGGTTTTGAACATACAAACTACTTCATACCACTCACAATCTAACGGCGCCCTCGAACGATCCTATAGAACTCTTATAGAGTATATTCGAAATTTTATGAGAGCTGACCAGACTGACTGGGATGCTTGGCTTCCGTTTGCAATGTTTGCTTATAATACGACACCCCATTCTTCAACCGGTTGTAGTCCTTACCGACTCGTGTTCGGATATA